TACCCAGGCCCAGATGTAATAAGCCAAATGGTCCGAGATCACTCTCTTATGTTATATAGAATAAAATCAACATTTCATTCTGTAAATTTTAACAGATAAATCTTGTTACTAATAATATAGAACATATGTATTGTGTAAGATTACAAAATAAGTACACATTGTGTTGTTTTAACATTTCTTTTCAGTTACTTTAATAATTTTACATTTAAGGTCAATTAACATAAGAGCAATCTGTTAAATTAACACATGAATGTGTTAACCATTTAACACAAAAATTTTAACGGGCATTTCTTTTAACAAGAAAACACAAATTTTCCAACTGTGCGCATTTGTTACGTCAATACCTTATTGAATTAATTAGATGGAAGTGTTGATAGAAAAAGGAGAGGGAATAAATGAGATTTATTCTCCCGCGGGCGTGGCCGTACTTTACCCACCTTATGTCACATCCGGTTTATTGCGTATTCATCGATAACAGAGAAATACGCGTGACGAACGTATTCATAGTAGACTGTAAGAAACGGCAATTATAACCGTCCAGGTGAGACGATCCGACGATGAGATACATTTACGTGATAGCCATGCGCGGCGTTCTCCCGCGATGTATTTACATAAGTACTGCTAGGAGCTACCGCGGATCTATACCGCGGCAAATTGCACGCGACGAACGGTCGGGGAGTGAAATATCCGGGTATCTTTTGCTATCGACGTTTACGGTTTTATTTGATCCGCTGCATTACCGCGTCTAACGTAGAAATAATTAACTCGAGCGGCGAGCGATGAATTTCATGCTTTTACGTCGACGAGACGGAAAGTGACACGCTGCCCAACAGTCATTCGGTAATGATTGAAAGAGCAGCGGATCGCGCGGTTAGAAAGCGTAAGTATCACCGCCAAATTAATTCCAGCTCAAGTACAAGAGGCGGGTGTACAAGATGCTGCATTTGGATGAGAAACAGCTCAAGGCTATGCACACCAGGACGAATTTGCGAAGGTTATTGGATTATGTGCAGAGCAGTCAGGTCGAGAAGATCGCCAAGATGTGCAGCAAGGGGCTGGATCCCAATTTCCATTGTCAAGAAACAGGAGGTAATTCGCGCGCGCAATTGCGGGAAAATTTACTAAGTGACTCGCGAGTGACGGAGCGTGATTTCCATCGGCTCCGTCGCAACGCGAGACACGCGAATATTCGTCGTGAAATAGTTATATGCAATCGCATTTTACCGCGTTGTCATTTTAGCAATTTCGCCGTTGCAATATTTACATTCTATCGTTGCGCACAATATCACAAAATTACACGGGAGATGGATAATATTTTCCACGTTTCCGCGCGAAAAATATCGCGGGGTCGTTGAAGCAGTCGCGAAAAATCTCGGATCGTTTCTTTCATTTCAGAGACGCCGTTGACTTTAGCAACGACTTTGAAAAAGCCGTCTAAGGTAATAATTGCACTGGTCAATGGCGGCGCTCTACTGGACTATCGAACGAAGGAGGGTTTAACGGCGATGCACCGCGCCGTTGAGCGGAACAGTTTGGAGGCGGTAAAGACGCTTCTGGAGCTGGGTGCTAGTCCGAATTACAAGGATACCAAGGGCTTGACGCCGCTCTATTACAGCGTCATTTACAAGACCGATCCGATGCTCTGCGAGACGTTGCTTCACGATCACGCGACGATAGGAGCTCAGGATCTCCAGGGCTGGCAGGAAGTTCATCAGGTTTCGCTCATTTCTTTCCGTACTCTTTTTCATCGGGTAGCAGAGTTTTATAAAATGATTGAAAGATCAGCGGAATATAGGAAGAGCCACGTGTGTTTCTTGCGAATATTCTCTCTGAATGAACTAACCTTGACAAGATCCGATAACCATTTTTTTAATCGCACTTATCGCTCTATCGCGTTATTAAAATTTCAAGATGAAACACCTTTTGATAACTTTTTAATAATAATTGTATTAGAAATATTATCGTTTGATTACTGGAGACCTTCGCAAAGCGAGACTTTGTCCATTGCGTTTCATTCATAAACTGTCGCGTGAGGGGAAAAATACTGGAATTAGAGCGCGCCGGTTACGAGCCGGCGAAGAATGCGGCCTGAACGCCATTGAACGATTTCCGTCTAATGCGCGTCTTACTCCGCCGTATGCCCGCAGGCATGTCGCAACAATCTGGTGCAGCATCTGGACCACCTGCTTTTCTACGGCGCTGACATGAACGCGCGCAACGCGTCCGGTAACACGCCGTTGCACGTGTGCGCGGTGAATAACACGGACGCCTCGTGCATACGCCAGCTACTCTTCAGGGGCGCGCAGAAGGACGCGCTCAACTACGCGAACCAAACGCCGTACCAGGTCGCGGTGATCGCGGGCAACATGGAGCTCGCCGAGGTCATCAAGAACTATCAGTCGGAGGAAGTCGGTGAGTTACGAGCGTCGCACCCGAGTGTCAAAAAATCGAGCCCTCCCGCGACGAGGAGGGGACGCGAGGAACGCGGGGGCGCGAATACCCGGGCGCAGGAAACCCGCTCGGAGAGGTCGTGGCATGACGCTGCAGGAATGAACGACAGACGTTGACGATCTTCTGCCTCTCCGCCTCCCGCCCCGTCCCCGTCCTACGGTCCTTTCGCGTTCCTGGGCTCCCCCCCCTTCTCTCTCTCTCTCTTTGTCTCTTCCTCTCCAATATCGTTCCGTCGTTCTCGCGGCGGCTCGGTCGCTCGCGCAATGATGATAACGCCGAACGGGTGATCGTCCTTCCGGGATCAGGAATGGGACGAACGGACTTGGAAGACGGATAACCGTAATCTCGTTACTCGACAAGATTTTTCCATATTCAATAACCACACCCGCGAAAACTATCGGCGCGCCCTGTCAGATTCCAATCCCCCGGTCTTGACGCCGCGCGTACCACTCGTCAGATAAGTTAAAGCTCAGCGCCGAGCATCGAGATTCCGGCGGCGAGCGCGATGGGTTTTCGGGAGCTCTTTTGATCCGGTATCATTTTCGATATAATCTCCGGGCGATCGGCCATTACGATAAATTGAAATAAATACTCGTCGGAACCTTGGAAATAGCGGCTAGTTATCGCGCTATCGCCGCGATCGTCGCGTACTTCGGAATCGATATCTACAATATCTACGATTTGTTTGTTGAATCGAAATCGCGTATGGCGACCGCGACCGCGCGACACGATAAGGTTGACGAGTGTTATCTGATAAGAAACGAGATCGTGGCGTATAAACCACGTATGCTTTCATTTCGCATGATTATAGTCGAGCATGGCATGAGCATGTGCACGCTGCTTTTTCCGTAATACAGAGGTAGGCATCGGTAGGTAGTTTCTCTCGAATCGTAGTTACTTAGAGGGTGCTTCTGGAATTGTGTGTGTGTGTACATTATATACGCGCGAGGCGCGCTGTGAGCGTGGACGTGTGTCGATGTACCTTTATCTACCTGTGTCTGTGCTGTGTGACGAGTAACGTAAAGATTTACAATCGTTTGTCATGGGATTTTTGGTGGTGATGGTCGTGTATGACGTCGAGTACATTTGTGATACCGCGGAAAAGTAACGACACTACCTCTTGATAGATTTGCTTTCCAGTAACTAATGGTACTGTATTTTTGATTCACTGTCGAATGGATCAGTGCTGCCGGATCGAAGAGAGTCGCGTGCTCCACAATCGGCCGGTCCCTTTCAAATAAATTATGCCCTTTATACTTTGTAACGTCTGCCGTTAAAGCAAGACTTGGCGAACGTATAAATTCCGGATTACATGTTGCATTTTAAACGCCATTTTTATATATCGTTACATTTGTTTCTCGCTTACGTTATAGATTTGACGAGATTTTTCTTTAGAAACTCCAGCAGGAGAACTTTTCGCCTTCGCCGGATTACATGTATATATATTTTTCCTGGCAGCACTGAATTTGCAAGAATGTCTTGACTAGTAATGTTTGGTAGTTCGAGATACGTTGTGAATCGACGTGGTCCCCGCGGGTCGTCGGAGCCTCCGCGGCCTGGAGGGAACCTGAAGAAGCGCATTCCGACGACTCCGCGACGGCGACGCCGATCGTCTGTGCACATGACGTATTCCGACGAAACTTACCCGTAATCTCGAGCACATTGTATCGCACAAAACGGATACAACAGAACGGGGATGGAGTCGTTATCCTTGCGTGTGCTTTCTACCGCTTTTCCATCTGTACAGGACGTCCCAGAATCGACGGAAGGTCGGACGCGTTGGCGTTGTTTCTGCTCAAGTTCCTGTCAGACACATTTCGTTGCTTAAGCCTTGAATTGAGATTCTGTTAAAATAAATTCCACTTTGACTTGACTTACTAAAGACATCATAGTAATGTATCTTCGTCTTGAAACTGTGAGTTGAACGGAAGAGCTCATCAGTTTAGCTTACACTTGGAAAATTATTAACGTCTAGGCGTATCTGCGGACAATCGCGAGCCTCGCAAGAAAGAGCGCCGTTCGCTTGTCTCTCGTCGGTTCTGAGACGCCCTGTACGTGCCGGTACTAAAACGACGAGTGCAATATCTGGTTGTCCGGGGGGTTACCCGGGGAGAGCCAATAACCATCATCGTCGCCATCACGAAATAACATTGTGCGTGCGCGCGTGTGTGCGTGCGTGCGTGCTTGTGTGTGCGACACGGCGACCGCTTGTAAGATCGCTTTGCAAAAATCCCGCACGACGATCTTCCCGTGCCGGGACACCGGAAGATCGTCGGCGGAGAACCGGGGCCCCTGCGCCCCGAGCCCGAATTGTTCGTTTTAACAAAGATAATGTACGATGTACAAAGCACGCGACCAACACTCGCGCGTCGATTAAATGCAGATAATGACGACGCATAAATGCCGTCGCCGATACTTGACGCGCGCGTCGATTAAGTGATTTGTTCGATATCTGTTTCGGCCACGAAACACCGTCTTCGTCGTGTACCACGCCGGCTTTTTACACACGTGTAATTTATTCTTTTAACCCTAGACAGTAAGAAAGCGGTACCTAACGCTCTGTTATGATTTCGAGTGATTTTCAAGTGACGCGACGTTTCATTCGAACGATCGAGTTATTTACTTAAATTTGATAAATGCAGAAATTGTGATGTATCAAGTACATTTAATCGGAATGAAAAGGAGTTTTATACACTGTTTAGGGTTTCCTAGCCCGCGTTCTTTCTGGACGATCGTAATTCAAGTACTATTAATCGACATGATTTAGAGATTTCGACCCTGAAGACTCGCGTCAACGCTCGTCTAAGAAGTACATGGAGGCGCGCCTACTCTCTTTGTAAGGCTAAGTAATCCTTTCTTTACTTACCCTTGCAACCCTTGCGATTTTCAGTACCGTTTAAAGGGCCGCCACGCTACAACCCGAAACGACGATCGGTGGCCTTCAGTGGCACCTCCTCGATGATGACGACGAGCTGTTCGGCGAGCAATCTGGGCACCCTGACCAGGATACCGTCCAGCGAACAGCACGCGGTGGCGTCTAACGCCGGTACCGCTGGTACCCTTACCAGAACCATCTCGGTGGAACAGTACTCGAGCATCACGCGGGTACCTTCCGCCGAGCAGTACGCTAGCACCGCAGCGGCGGTGGCGGTGAGCCTGAACCGAGTACCGTCCACGGAACAATCGTATCCACCGCCCCCGTCGTCCGGCGTGCTCGTCCGGGTCGCGTCCGAGGAGAAATACGCGCCGGCCGGTGCTGTGGTGAGCAGAGCCTCGGCCGGCGAGCGATACGACGCGAGCAGCCTGAGCAGAGTACCGTCCTCCGAGCAGTATCCGGCCGCCGCGGTAGGCCTGACCAGAGTACCGTCCACGGAACAATATCCCTCCACCGGTCAGACGACCGAGTCGAGCCACCACGGAAGCCTCGGCAGAGTACCGTCCGTAGAGTCGAGCAGAAACGATTTACCGAGATTACCGTCCGAACAGAACGGCCACCGACTGACGTCGGAGTACCAGAGTCCGAATTCCTTGAGAGATCCTAACGTGAGGTAAGCATAGACGAGAAAATCGCGCGCGAGCATCGCCGATATCGCTGGCCACAGGCGCGATAAAGTCGCGCGTGGTTAAGCGCGGTAAAGCGAGAGCAGACACGTGGGAGGGAAGAGAAGACTCTTCTCTCCCGGGGAGACTCATCAGAGTTCGACAAAGATCGCGCGGTCACCGATGCTTCACCCTGACCAGGACCGAACCGCGTGTGACTGACTGGGAGACAAAAAAATATAATTATGTATCGCATCGCCACGCGAACCTTGGTCTTGGTCGGCGCGAAGCGCGATCGATCGCCGGTGTACCCTAAGAGTTGTGTCCGCACCATTTCAAGATTGCCGAGCGCCGCGGAGAATTATTCGAACTTGAGAATGGAGGGCCTGACGAGGCTGCAAGAGCACCGGCTCGAGCTACAGCATCGCCTCGATATGCACAGAACGCAGATGGAGATGCCGCCGTCGCCGTCGCCGAGCAGCAGGAGTTTAGCGCCTTTCAGCTCGGCCAGCTCGAGCTTGTCCGAAGGCAGCAATCAGCCGTCCGGCGAAGACTCGGCCAGCATCGTCACAGGTACACTATTCTTTTCTCATTCTATCCCCCTCAACCCACCCTCTGCGCCCGCCCTACGATGGCGAGGGGACCAGAACCAACAAGTCTCTGCTCCTCGATGACCCACAAAACTCAACTGCGGAAACATCGTGTAGCTACCCCGGAGATCCCACGAGAGAGCCAACTGCCAAAGATATATGAGGAAGCGGACGGTCGTTTCTTTTGCCGAGCATATCGCGCGTAAAATGACGGACCATCGTCACGTTGTATGATACCATCACCACCAAAAACCGGCGGCGGTGCGCGAAGGTGGTCCAACTATACGATACGAGAGAGTTTGATCGGAACATCCCACATGGCTTTGATGGTTCGTGCATGTTTCCGTTTTTGGTGTCCCCGAGGATATTAGAGATCCCGAGTCGATGGCTCCTTCTTGCCAAACTATAGCGAGCGAGTTGGGCGAGGTCTCGCTCGTCGAGAGACACGTTGCGCTTATTTTCATTAGCGGCCCGCCTTTTAGGATGCGACGAATGCGACGCGACTGGCGATTTCTAGAGCTCTTTGCCATCGTAGAACACACTCTCTATAGGCGAATCGAATTGAGTTAATTTTTCTGAGGTCGAGTGCGCTCAACTTTTCATTTAGCGTTAAGAGTTAGCCGTTTTTTTCCTTTTCTCTCTCTCTCTCTCTCTCTTTCTCTGTTTCTTTCTCTGTCTCTCTTAAGGATTTCGATTTCTTGCATGGCGTTTATCGCTCGGTAAGGCGATGCGGGGCGAACACGAGGCATCACGCTGAGTATATCCGACCGTTGTCGATTTCTAGACAAGAGCCTCGGCGACACGGCGTCCGATGTGATCAGCGACAGTTCCGGGGTGGGAACCTCGCAGTCCGACACAACCAATTCATTATCCATTCCCGGCACGACGGTGGTCTGCGTGGAGAACTACAACAGTGGGATTACCAGCCATCTGACTATCAATCAAGGAGACATCCTTGAAGGTACACCACCAGGCAAATCCAGCAAAACGTACTCCTCTCTTTCTCTCTCTCGTCTAGTTGTCAGCTCCGTTGACTTTGCAGTCGACGGCGACGTAACTCGTTGCTCGCTCGATGTCCCGTGACTTTTCGTGTTCCCCAATGATTGACACCATCATTAACACTGCGTTCCGTAATTTTGGATGACAGCCGTCTCACTCTATCTTGATTTCTGTTTTGTAGGTAACGCCCAGAAATATTTTTTTGATAGCAAGCGTGTTTTTGTTTCTTTATTTTTAACAGTCACCGGTGCCACCGACTGCGGCCTCCTGGAAGGGGTTTTGCGCGGACAGGGTACCGGCCTGTTCCCCGCGCATTGCGTCCAGGAAGTCCGGCTGCGCCACACGAATATACCTCTGGGCCCGCAACCCGCCAGAGATGAACGAAATCGAGTTCTGGGCCGCAGAGAGTCGCAGCACAAGTACTTTGCCACCGCACCTAGATTAAAGAAGCCGTGAGTCCCACGCTCTGCTACTATTTAAATCGCCCTTGAATTGTATTTAACGAAAGATGCAATAATAATTTGGAACTCTCAGTGTCACGGCGGAGCCTCGCACAGTTGTTCTTCATCGTTCGAGGAAAGGTTTCGGCTTCGTGTTGCGCGGTGCCAAAGCCACCTCGCCACTAATGGAACTCACACCGTCCGCCAAATATCCGGCGTTGCAATATCTGGACGATGTCGATCAAGGAGGCGTGGCCGATCTAGCGGGTCTCCGAAAAGGAGACTTTCTCATTCAAGTAAGCTTACGGATATAGGTATTAAGTTATTTTTATTACAAAAAGTGGATCATTGTGGAATTTCGTGGAAGTAGTTTTTATATTCGTCGAATTGGATTGCATTTTTCTCTTGCGAACGTTTCAGATCAACGGCGAGGACGTAACAACGGCCTCCCACGAACACGTGGTCGATCTGATAAGGAAATCGGGAGAGTTGGTGCGAATGACCGTGGTCTCGCCGGTGATCAGCCTCCCGAATTCCCAATCAGCGGCCGCGTTGCCAACTAGTCAACCGATCCAGAGACAATACGCCACCTTGCCGCGCAAGGGTAACAACAACGTAGTGATCGGCGGCACGCTCGGCAGGTCTCCAGCTCCTGTGCCGCCGCGAAGAGATCCAAAGACCACGCTAAGCGTGGGACGTGCGAGAGCGCGGTCGATGGTTGCGGGATTAGGTAATAGATTAGAAATCAGTCTTGCGATGTACGATGGACGCAGTGAAACATTCATGCCGTGTGTGTTTGTCATGACTCTCGCAGAAGGAGGCGGCGAGAGGGACGATCGCGACGAAATCGCGTCGACCGACGCCAAGTCGAGTAGTGCGGAATCGATTCACATGCCGCAGCAGCCATCGATCGGATCGAACACTGGCCAAAACACACCGGTGCAACCGAGAACAGCCAGCATCCGATCGCGTCCGACCTCCAGCAGAATCACCGCCGCAGAACTCGAGGTAACTATCTCTCATCCGCTTGCGGCACGCGCGCCGGACTTGCTCGATCTCTCTCTCTCTCTCTTTCGCTCGATCACAGAGTCTATCCGTGGCGCTCGTTGTCCTCGAATTGAATGGCATTGTATGCACGAGACGAGACCGAGGCTTCAGCTTCGTCCTTTAATTTCTCTTCCAGGAACTATTTCAGCGACAGCAGGGTAGCGCCGCCGGTCAGTACAGCTCGTCCATGATGAGTTCGTCTCACTTTCAGACTACTGGTCAATCCACCAAGTCGCATCCGTCGTCGCCCGCCAAGACCGGCAGGGTGTACGCGAGCGTGGCAGAGATGAAGCGCAAGGGCAAAGTAAGGATGACCTGCCACTCAGTTACAAGCTCGCACTCGCCCTCTCGTTCGCGTTTCTCTTTTTAATATTCACCCTATAGTTGACAATAAGTCCCTCGATGAAAACTGCCCTAGATAATGGCAATTAACTTGTTTGTTTGTTTGTCCACCTCATCCACTAGTAGTTTGATCGAACTCTCTGACACCCCTATAGACAACTACTTTTGATCATCCCTTAGTTTCTAATAGACAATATTGCATATCTTTTTTTTTCTACTTCCTCGTATCATACCCATCGATAGTAGACCCACTGATACAATATTCGACTCGACGATTAAGGGATACCCCGTAAGAAAAGTCTACCAGCGTCGAAAGCGTCGTCCGGCGTTCGGTGAACGCTCTCCCCTCTGGGCAATGGTAATGGTGGTTGTTTTCTTTCGCATGTGTGTTATAGTTTGCGCGCAAACCGGTGCGAGCGCACAGCAAGGGACGGTCCTGGTGCGGGCGAGACGACGAGGACTACTACTTATATTACTGATCGAAAATACTTTGTTTCTAGCTCGTCCGTGGCTTGCATGATTTCAGGTGACTAAGCCATTTGCTAAATGAAAAGAAATCTGACGTCCGCGAGGGCGTTAGCTACCACCTACAGCTTCGTGTTCACGCCTCAAGTATGATTAACCAATTGCCGCATTTGCATTTAACCAAGTCTAGCAATTTTCCTCAATTCCTTAAGTCGCTCTTCAGGATTGATTCTATAAGCATGGAAGGCTAACGATACGTAACTGTCCACGTTCTCCGCAGTCTTCGACAGCATTAACACTTAAATGACATTTCGCTGAGCCAGTAATGGTAGTTGGTCACGGTAGCTTGGAGTTCACGCTTAGCAGGAATACGCTTCATCCCCGTACCACGATGTATCCAATGTCCTTTTGCCGTTTGTCTCACTCGATCCTTCGCCCCATCACCAAGTTTTAAATCGCAATTCTGTAAATTCTTCACGCTCCGAGTTTTTCAAAATTAGCAAGGCGTCGACGCCGACGTTCGCGAGTCGCAGTCTGTACAAGCCTCCTGTTCTTACATTTACAGTCACAATCGAGAGTACGCTTCATCGGTGGCTCGAGCGGCGGTTCCGATCTTCACAGGGATTTCCACAGCACGCCGGATCTCAACGTGCAAGCGCAGTCGTCATTCCTTCTGGCGCCCAAGTGCCATAGAAGCCAGGAAGACATAAACGCCCTAAACGGTAGAAATGGGCTTCCACCACCGAATCATCCACCGCCGCCCCCACCGGTCGGACAAGTCGTCAAGGTGAATGTCGGCGCCAACGTGCCGGACGTCGTCACGCCAGCTTCGGTCTACGATAATATGGCGCATATTCAGCAAGTCAAAGGTAATAATCATTTTTTAACAACTTAATTTAGAAATTTCCTTTACTATATTAAAATCACTTGTCATAAGCTGCGATCGGAAGAAATATATATTCAATTAAGCATAGTTTCATCCTTGAAATATTTTGTTGCACCATGAAAAATATTATAATTTTTATTAAACCGCAGAACTGGCAGCAGCCGCAGTCGACGGAAACTACGGGGTGATGTCGAGCTTCCGGCCGTCGAACAGCGCGAAGCTGTACGCCTCGCCGGAAGACATGAAGACCGTTGGATATCGCTCGCGTAGTCTACCGGCTAATCGTCCGCATCTGAGAAAGTCTCACAGTCTACGCAGCACGCCGAGCAGCACGACATTCAAGTCGTCCGGCAGTCAGCAGGCGCTGAATACCAGCGTCAACATGAACAGTAACGGAAACGGTAACAATTCGAACAACAATCAGTACGCGCAACCGCTCAAGACTACCAGGAGTCACAGTACGGCCGGTATTCGCGAGCGAAAGAAGAAGACTGTTGTGAGCAGCAGCTCGTCCGTCACGAACCTCTCGTCGATCGTGTCCAGCGCGAATGGAGCGCCCACTCAGCCCACCTCGGCACCGCCGATCCCCGAGCCAGATTACAGTCTGTCGGAATCGGAGAACGACGAGGGCGAGGACGAGACGGACGAAGACGGCGAGTCGGAGATCGCGAAGGAGTTGGAGAAGGCGGCGGCGCGGGAGAAGCTGGAGGCAACGCGGGAGACATCCGGCAACTCCAATACATCTGGCTCGAGTTCGTCGGGCAGCGGTTCGCTGCCGCACTCGTTCAGCGTCGAGGAGATTCAAAAAGTGCGCACGCAATTAAAGTCGTCGAAAAGCCATCCGAACGACTTTCTCCTGCAGCAAACGCAACAGTCGCTCGTCGAGGACGGCGACAACAGCTCGAGCGGCGTCAGTTCGGATCAGGATGTGCCGGTGGGACCACCGATGGGCTTCGACGACACCGCTGTGCGGAATCTAGCCAATCAGGAAAGCAACCAGCACTCGACGCCGGGAGGCGTGGCTCTGCTGACCGGCGCCACTCCGATTGAGAGCAATCAGACCAAACGACCGGGCTACGGCGGCAGCGGTTTGCTGACCAGGCACGCAGTCAGCCTGGCGCAGCTGCCGCCGCCGATCGAAGCCGATGCCGAAGAGCAGAATAGCGACTTGTTCGTACCGCCACCGCCGGAGTTCAATGCCGGACCATCTGCCGGCGGCCAAGACCAGGAAGTGATGGTGTTCGCGCCGCCGCCGCAGTTCTGCGATAACAAGCAGCAAACGCAACAGCAGCAGCAGCAGCAAACCGCGGCGCAGAATCGCGTCAAAATAATCGGCGCGATCCCCAAGGTAGCTGGGAATCAGGTGAAGGCGTCAGGCGGTCGATTGCCGTAAAGAGAAAACTACGAACCGCGAATGATTTTTTGTTTTCGTGTATTACTTCCCGACGAGGCGAACAGAAAGAGAATTTTTAACTCATACATCGCGATTTCGAAGTCAATATATTTAGAGGCTCTCCGCCTTTTCGGTAGTGATCACCGCGCGACGAGCGCACCTAAATTTAGACTATATGACGATCCGGTAAGAAAGGATCGACCGATCCGCGCGAGCGTATATAAAGCGCGGTCGCTTGGACGACTTTTTTCCAAGAGTAAATCGTATTCTAATCGAGCGTCGTAGCAATTATACCGAGGAGATAGTCGAGCGCGTTTTTACCAAGTAAGTTTACGAGTGTGAGCGTACGTCCGATTGCACCACAATAGATGATTGGTTTGTCGCGCACGAGCGCATGGTCGTTCATAAGTTTGTCCATCGCCACCCTGTCCGTGAGTGAGCCGACAGATCCGCAAACCGATTCGCTGCGTCGTAAAAGAGAAGCGGCCTAAGGGCACGGAGAAACGAATATAACGCATTCCGGCGGAAGAGGACGAACAACCGAGGGGGAGATAGGAAGGATGGAAAATGCATTTGATGCGTGTACGCGTGCATGAGTTGTAACGCGTGAATGTGCGATGCATATCGGTTTGTTTTTTCATGTTTCTATCGAACTACGAGGTGTGTTTTAATACTTTTACACGACACTCTTCGCTCCGAGAATACAGAACTGTCGCGAGGGCAGTTCTTTCGCAAGTCGCTTCTAAACCAATTTTAAGCAAAAGCATTACAAGCAGTCTCGCTCACTCTCGATCCCCCCTTGCCGGCGAAGCATCGACGGCGGTGATTTCAGTGACGATGACGCGAAAATCACGTAACTGATTAGTTGTTAAATGTCGAACAGCGCGGTTTTTTTTTTTAGTTTCTCTCGTGTCTAGACACTGCTCAAACGCCTAATCACAAAGCTCTACTCGCGAAGTCATTAGAGATTCTTCCTAGTTTGTAATTGCAAATATTATTAATATTAGTATTATGATTTTATTATTATATTAATATTATTGTTAGAGCATTGTTATTATAATTATATGGCGACTATTACGCTCCACTGACGAGCCCCTCGAGAAAGCGTAGTCGCGTTTACAAAAGAATGTGTAGCACTATACTTCGTTATAATGCACTCATTACTCCAGCCTGTATAAAGTAAATCGTACTCCTTCCATCCGCGTGAAAAAGCTTCCTTGAGCCGGAAAACTTTTGTTTTTGTGTCCATGCATCACTGTTGAATAAATCAAAGTCGTGCAAACGAGAAATCTCTCGCAAGCACGAAATTGATGGAGCTGAACCAATGATCGGATTCTCGAGCTCTTCGCACAAGCGCGGTTCAATATCTTCTTGCAAATTTATTGCGAGTATGTACATATATATATATACACACACACACTAAACCTTCCTGATTATCGTTTCTACGCCTTCACGAATGCTGGACAAAAACAAAAATCGGATTTTGTGTAGCACAAGTGCGAGCGCGCGTGAGTCGCTGTGTGGTTTTTGAGACGTATAATGGGAGAGGCCGAGTCAACGTATGTCGTACGTTTTTTAAATGTTCCTTCGATATATTTCATTGTCGTCGTTTTTTGATATAAGCACCAAGATCCGACACAGCGTAAATACCAAGTATATGAACATTCTTTTGCGTGTGTGAACACAAATAATAGTCTGCGCGAGATATTCGGATGTCTGGATATTGTTCTCGGAGATACGCGTTTTGTATGAAAATTATTAAAATTACAAAAGTCTCATTTACGAGAAAGATTCCAGAAGATTAAAAAAATTATAAGAACAACTGTAATACACGTGGCGCATTATCTATTTTATCTTCCGGTTTTGCGCGACAATGATTTTTTTCGACATTTTATATAATTTACTAAAACAATTTCCTAATTATATAATCTAATTTTAATACCGCAAAATAATATTCATCCGTGAATGAAAGACAAGACGTTAGTATCAACAAGTATCGTAAGATATTTGTATATTTCAATGAAACACACACATCCAACGACGTTCACGAGATGTTACACGCTGTGCGGGATCATTCCATAAACTCTCGCAGTTCAGCGAAAAGCAATATACGACACGCGTGCATCACGACGGCTCCGTACGAGAGCAGCAAACGGAGAGATCAGCTGAGAGACGAGGCTTTATTTTTCTTTGCCGTGCACGTGGCGCGCGCGCGGCCACGTGGCGTCCCGTGCGGAACACGTGCACGACATTAGTTGCGCGCACCAGCGGATGTGCTAAGCGCACGGTTTGCGGCCGAGATTATATATATATATATATACATATAATTACGACATTCCTGCCAAAAGTAATGTAATAGTCTTATATATCAAAATTAACGCGCGCGCGCAAGAGAGAGAGAAAGAAAGAGAGAGTTAATGTTGCGTAACACGACGACGCGTAAGAGGACACACTTTGTAATCTAGTTGTTTCCTCTACATCCTCGTTCCCTTCGTTTCTCCTCCGCATCGCTACGCACGATCGATAGAGGATCCCCCGGAAACACGTGCGACGAACGTGTCACCCTGGACGAGGGGGATCCGAGGATCGCCGCTGTGCGCGCACGCGGATCTGACTTCCTTGTTAAAACCTACCAGTAAAGTATTTATACATGTATAGTATATGTATATATATACACGACGCGCAACACGAGGACTGTTCCCTGCGTGTGACGAGGATTAATCGGCCGCGAAGAAAATCCCGGGAGAAACGCGATGTCTCGCGGACGTCGCGGGAATACCGTTAAAATCACCGGTTCGCGTCCCGCGGTCTTGACGCGAGGGGGAGGAAATAAAATCTGCCGCAACATGAAACTCTTCGCGATTTTTAACGGTTTCGTCGGATTAGTTAATTCCCTCTGGACCCTTTCACGCGCGATCGGGATTCAACGCCCGTTACCGATTTAATTCGTCTCGCAGGGAACGCAGCGTGTGCGATACAGAGTGCATCGGAAAAAAAAAACAATGATTTTATTGTCCGCGAAAAGTTTTAATATTCGCTAAGTAATAAAATCAGAATGGAGATAGCCGACGCATCGGTTTCGTGTCATTCGGCTCTCTCGACGATACTTGAAATGTTTGCTACATTCGATGATTTAGCTCCTCGAAGTTTTCGGCGAGGAAGGAGATCAGACGCAAATTTCCTGGAGGAAACGAAGGGATACATTCGTACGTGCACTTCTCGAGACACTCTGTATACCACGCACCGATGTGAGAACGGCAAGTGCCAAGGAGAGCCATCGAGAGCCGTAGCTCGATAATCGTACTGCGACCGACTGAATTTTTGGACCCACTTTTTATTATCGTCTAGCATTCCTACGTTTAATCTCGCTCCTCTGCTCACCCTCTTCCTCTTGTCCTCCATCATTCTTCATACTTCAGTTATCACTATCATTAATATTATTATCAAGCAATTACTATTAGTATTTTGTATTATAGGTATTGTATTGTAAATTGCAAAGTACGTGCAATGTTTCGACGATGAATAATAATCAACCATGTTCAACTAATCCGTTGGAGGCTTTATTTTTAGCTGTATAAAGAATTTCGCTAACTCTGGTAATCTGATTGCGCCAATGCCTACCAGAATGCCACTGAAATATCGGGCACCGGGCATCGTCGAGTGACTATCGCAGAGTCGGGATTAGGGTGTGGCGAACGGAGGCACTTGCCTCGCATAAGAGATTTGTAGGGGCGCAAAAATGACAATTGTTCTAATAAAATTTGTTTAAAACTTCGGCGATTATTGAGGTTTATCAATCGCGGAAATTCTTCTTCTTTGGTCTCGGGCGCCAAAACGTCCAGTCCCAGTTCTGGACTATCGCAACAATCAACATATCAATAATGCGATGTATTTCGTGATAAATTAAAGCACATTATTCATGCCATTTCAAGTTGCAATCCTGTAATATAGGATTTGTCTCAAAGTTCGAGTTACAAGAAACTTTTCGGCTCGTAATGTTAAGGCGATAATTAAATGGCGAACTAAAAATTCAATGATTCGGAATGGGAGGATAATTTGATGTGTCTGAAGATTAGGAATTTGCCGTCGTTTTCGGGATGAGAAGGGATATTGAAGTGAAGAGACAACGAGAATACGATATCGCAACCGTGAAATTATTATTATTCTCTTACAATATCTATCTCTTTAATGTTCTGTTCTTGAGCTATAAACCGTCATTCGTGTTTGTACATGAAAGTATCCAAAAAAGACAAAGCACTGCTCGGATATTTCTCTCTTATTCGTCTCTCATTTGCTCGGACTTCGGGAAAAGCTCCCTTCGCCTCTCTACTCTAGCTACTCCGAATTTTCCCCCTTTTTTTTGTTCCCCCTCGTAGAACGACTATGTGGATTAATGAACACCGGCGGTGCTTTCAACGATCGGTCGATCCACACAATGAACGTAATTTGTCTTTTCCTTTATTATTATTTGGCAGTGCGAAACAACCGTGCTCTTTCACTTCCTCCTCGCTACGCAGTTTGAGTCTTGTCGAGTCTTTGTCGGATATGAGAAACGCTACATCGACCTCGGCGCAGCGGCGAGAAATCGTGAGATCGTTCGGGCCCAAAATTCGGTCCCGTGTATTTCCAGTGGTTGGATCTCGCGCGCTCGATCCTCGCCGCTCCGTCCATAGCGCGAGAAATATCGTTTTTCCTTTTCCCTTTTAAGAATCTACAGGGCTCGCGAGACAACGGAGCTGAATTGTAAGTAGGTGGGCTCACCAGTTTTCATCGTCCCGCGCGTATATATACTTCGAGTTTCTTTCTACACGCTATAAACCATATTAGTTTAAACTATGCAATATATTTCCCTACTTTTATACAAGTACAAGCACTTCTCTAATCGAAGCAATCTCGCAGGGCCGCGATCAGACCATTAATCGTTAAAGGGTTCAGCAAGCACAGTGAGGATGTTCATCTCGAAATAACATATTTTATCACACACTATTTATAAAAAGAAAAACATAATAAAATCGATCGAATAATAAAATTGACGCGGTGATTTACAGGAGTCTTTGGAACCGAGGAAGAAACGCGCGCCTGTAATACTGATTGTACGAATGAACGGAATTTCGCTAACTAGAATTTAGGCGGCCCTCGTCGCGATCGCTTGAAACTCTCGTCACGCTTTTACATAGAATTTATAATAAATGCAAACACTATATCTGTAATTAGCTATACTTATATGCACGTATCTCGGGAGGAGGATGGGGGGGCCTTTGTATATTCGCGTCACATTCAATTATTTACAAATTCCGGAGCTGCGGCAAAGAAACCCGGTCGAAAATCATAATGTCTTAATCTCCGTCCCATCGCCGCCCGCGCAAAATAATATCCGCCGCGACCGACTTCTCCCGACCTTCGGTGTGCTGCTGCTTTTCCTTTATACATTTACAAGCCTTGCGACTTCTATCGACACGCTGCTACATTCACGTACAGTGACGATCGGGTTCGACGAAAACTGACAAGCCGCACCCGGAGCCCTCGCACATACGTTTGCAACGCGTGCAACTCTCGCTAGTCCCCTTCTTACGTCAACGCCGTGTGAGATTCTCGAGTTTTGTGTACGTGCGCTCGTAGAAATCCACTCTCTCGGCTCTTCCAGGACACTCCAGAAAATTCCACGCGAAAGTGTCAGTTGCTTTCGTTCCACGCCCAGATAAGTATCCAATCAACGTCCGATGAGTTAACGCAATAGATTTCCGTCCTTCTTTGATTTTTATCTTTGCCAATTTTCCTAATCTTAAAATTTATGCAAGTAACACTCTGAACGCCACCCAAGTCTTTCGCGTGGATTTTTTGCTTGAGAAAAAGAGGTAAAAAATTTGTTCTCTAAAAACAAGAGACACTTTGCGTACTACTAGATAATTAATTCAGTGAAGTCTATAAGTAAGTCGTGATTAAGTAGATAGGGAGAATCTCACAGGTAAATTTTCTTTCGTTTGCGCTTGCTTCTTCTAATTTTTGCAAAAATACGATGCCCACAGAATTCCTGTACCCCTGCATACTCTCGCATACCTTCCCTTTCATTCTTCTTTCTCGCGCCCATTAGTTTTGTGTCCTATATTAATTACAATTAATCACACACATACACATACACACTCTGTCTTTCTCTCACTCACTCTCGCACTCACTCACTCACTCTTTCATTCTCTCACGCATCTTTCAAAAAAAAAAAAGTAAACCTACAGCGTATATATCTATGTGTATATGTGTGTGTATGTGTCTGTGTGTTCCGCAAAGTTGTTTCCAAAAACGCGATAGGAAAAAAAGAACGAGTGTTCACGTCTTTCGCTTCGTTATATTTTCTACTCTTTTTCTCCAATGCGAATACAGACCTAATTAACTTAGAGAACACTTTACAACGTTTCCCTTAAACGTACGCCCGTTATTACTTAATGCATTGCGCAACATCGCGTGGATTGATTTATATAACTACAAAAGAAAAACGCACGAAACGCGTGTGTAAAAAAAAGAACACCAGAAATCATAGAAATGAGATGATTTCCGTTCGGGTCAGACTTCGTGCACCAGAAAAACGTATACAAATCGTTTTACGCGTGTCCTCCCCCTTCTCTTTCAGCCTTCCGTCTCTTTATTATCATTATTATAAAAAATTCAATGATACTACATTGATAAATTTAGAATTGTCAGCAGGCCGATACGAACGATGGTAAATAGAGACGCTATAGTTAACGTGTGGATGTGTGTGTGGCTAGGACCACGTGTATTTTTCAATATCCTTGACAGTTTATGGTGGCAAAATTCATTCACCGCCGTCGATTCGACTATTCATGCTAAGAAAATGCGGTCGCCATGTTACAACGTAAAAAAAAAAACTCTCTTAGCTACACATAATCGGATCATTTTCTTTACTAACGACAATGAACGCAGGTGCGACTCTTGCCCGCAATTAGTTACAGGGGAATAACGTAAGCACGAGAGAACGTAACGTACAAAAGAATCCTCAGTCGGAATTAGACTCACCAATTACATAATTATACAAGAGCGCCCTAAATACATATTCGCAACTCGAATGAACTTATTGTAGAGAAGACCACAAAGATATCATACCGAGCTCGTTTAAAAAATTACCACGAAGCTTAATTCCTTTATTGTATCTTTCCATAATTTTCGTATTGCTGATCCGCTCGAATTTAATTTTACATCGCGAGAAGTAGATAATTGGAAGGACCTTCGAAGAGTGTTTTCCTCTCCGTCTCTTTCTCACTCTTTACCATTTGTTGCGGTTCTTCCATTTCACGAGATCAAGCACGACCAAGTAACCGAGCGTTCTTCCTATCGTTTCACCTTTACGCTCTAATGTTACAAAAATGTTAAAAAAAAAGAACAAGGAAAGAATGTACTTAATAACTAACGCAACCTCTGCTCAGCTCTTTTCCCCCTTTTTCTCTTTCTAATAAATTATAACTAAATATTCCCGTATCAACTAAAAAGTCTTGAAGTACCATCGATCTAATTGGTCAGTTGCGAAGAAAGACATGTTCCGTGAAATGATTATTTGTGCCAGAAATGGCAGACAAGTTTTCACGTACGTAAAAGATTGGTCCCTTATCTAATCGATACAATCTGACTGACAAATCGTTTTACATGAGCAGAGATCGTGCGACAGAAAATTGGCAAGGTGAAAAGATAGAAATTACAGTCGGAAGAAAGGATGATCGCACCACAAAAGAACAAAAATTAGGCGATGAATGATCGAAACACAATAAAATATGTAATGAAGATATCGAAGAGCAAGAACGAAATATAATAATTATATATTATATAAATTATATACAATTATTATGAATTAATTCTAAAATTAATGCTTAATAACTGTATGATATAATATATATTAAATAAATTATAAAATTTTATTTTAGAAACATAATCAAATCTGTCACGAAAGATCCTTATTTCTCAAACATCTCTTCACCAACGTATCCCGAATTTTTGTATTATTTGTATATCTTGATACATTGTTATTATAATCTCTAATAACTCTTATTTGCTTCTTAATTCCCATTTTTATATCTTATCGTGTTTCGGCCCGAAAGCGGGATCACGAAGAACACATGACTTCTCACGAAACATCGTATGGCATTGAGGAATCGCTCCAATGAAACTTGGATCAATTCGAAACGCGGATAACAGACAGGCAGTCCTCGGCAGAACTAATGGTGTCTCTTTTCACACTCTTTCTGTCCTGTATGTCTCACTAGCAGTGCCTTAAATCACATGCTTGACGAAATTTGGCAGTGCACGACACATGAGCGCTCGGAGAGAATATCACCGGTCTTAAAGAAAACTACAAATTAAATAATTTTCTCTTTTCTAAAGCTAAAAATAAATTACCTTTCCGTTGAAATAGACACAGAACACGAATAATTAATTATCCCAAGTTGACGGATCATACCCAAATGTAAAAACTGAATTTAGCTTATAATTATCAAAATAACTTACAACGCGTTATGTTAATAATCATTTCCTTAGGAACGGCAATATGCACTCGGAGAATATACAAATCCGGGAACGGTAGTTACGGCCAGGCCGCGTGTTCGTGTGCGTGTGTATGTGTTTGTACGTATAAAGAGAAAAGAGCCGACGACGAGTTTCTTAGAAGCACGATATGAACGAATATATGCTCGTGCAATAGAGATACTACGTTAGAGGCGCGTCGCTAAAACGACGGGGCTGGCAGTGCGTGATTCTGGCAGTGACGCGTTTATATCATCCGGTGTCGATTTTTTGATTCCTTCAAAAGGAAGGATATTAATCCACCGCCGTATGCGTGCCGCCCTCGCGGGAACGCTGTGCACGAAAATGAACGGATACAGAGAGAACGTACCTTTTTAGATAGCTTTCGGTACTCGCGAGTGGCTTGCTTCAGCGGCGACGAGTAACAAGCCCGCGGCTGCGAGTACAGGGTTTCGTGTAATATGCCGTTTCGTTACGATAATTTCAACTAAGTATTTACATTTACAACTCGTGGCCTCGCGTTCGCGACGCGCCGCGCACGGCCACGTGCACGGGACACCTCTTCACACATCGGCAGTTTGAGAAAAAGTAATTGTCATTGATTAAAATATCGTGTCCCATGAGGCGGACGTGACATCGGAACGGCCGCTTCTCATTACATGCATCCTTGCGCGTCAGCTAGAGATCTATTCGGTTATACACTTACAATCATACTTTATAATAATAGTAAGAATAATTAATTGATTAATTATGTCGTAGAGCTCTTAATTACATTTATATTGGCAGTGTTTCTCAGCTGGTGTGTAATGACGTTCCGTCTTTGTCTGTCTGTGTGTGTCTCATACGGTCTCCAGTTTTCTCTCTATGTAACTCTCCATCCCTCACTCACATTCATCTACTCACCCATTCTAATTTTCTCTCAGTCGTCCCGTCAATTTCTCATTCAACTTTCAATCGTTCAACACACACGACACGACGCATATTCTTCTCCTTCGCTAGCTTTAATTTACATCAAGTTCTTATTCGCTATGCATGTACATGCGCGCCGTGTAGCCACTCCACGATCACAAGAAACATTCGCGATTGTAAAATTCATTTCATTTTTTCGTGAACGCGATAAACTACGTACACGCGACAGCGGCCACACGGCGTACGTCATGCCTCTTTGTTCACTTCCTTTAGCATTCTTCGCTTAACAAGTCGTGGGAAATAACACAGCCTACGTAATTTACCCCTTTTGAGGGTAACAGCTCCTCGGTAGCGGTCGCGCAGCATATTAACTACTCCCGTTTCTCTTTACCTTGGCACTCAATTAAGTTTTGTGCTTCTCAATGCAACGAGCGTACGCTAATATGCTGCACGAGACTCGGTAGAAAGATAAAAGTAACGCGATGATGAAGTACAGAAATAGAATTCGAACAAGTTTCGGGCGCGGAAACGAGGTAAGCTCGATGCTTTTCTACAAAAGCTGGTGTTTTCGAGCATGCGCCTCGGGCCTTGGGAATCACTCTCTTTGCCTTAATTTTGTTTTGTACATCGTTTCTCCGTTCTATGAAGAAGAGAAATAATCCTCTACAGAAATCGCGGTGGTATACGATGTCGTCCAATAATACGTAATCTTTCAATTTCATGCCGAGCTTTCAAGCCTTGGGAGACTGTCAACCCCATTGAGGGAAATAACGGCGAATTCGGAGCATTATCACTCAGTCTCTCTCACACATATACATACTCTCATTCATACTCTTACAGCCTCACCTATCAGAACTCCCACCCCCTTTCCCAATTTTCTCTCATCCTTCATACAGTCCCGATACAGTCTTCTGCGTCCGCTTCGCGCCGTCCACGATCCTCTTCCTTCTTCTCTCGTCTCTTGTCTCCTCCCCTCTTTTCCTGTCATCACATGACAGCCAACGCAAGTCTCTACCGAGTTGTAAATGGAAGTAGGCGTTTCTTCTTTTCCTTTCTCCTTTTTTTTCGAGGCATCGTCGGAAATTGCAAAGATACCATCAGTTCCCGGAAGTGCCAAGGGGCCGATGTTAGATATTAATTGAATCCTAAGGCCACCAGAGTGATTATCTCCTTATAAATTGTTAACTACCGCTTAAATATTTTGTCTGTGCTCTCTTCTCTCTCTCTCTCCCTCTGTTTCCTTTGGCAAAACCAAATACGCAAAAGCTCCTCTTTACTGCTTTCTTTTTTTTCGCATTTTGTCTTTGTCTACCATTACTACCATTTCCACCACGCGTCTGTCTCTAGGATCGTGATCGGCAGTAGAAGACGGTACAAAACGTATCCACGGTGAGGCACTTTCGAGGCCCAGACTTAGCGCTTCCGAAGCCGACGAGGGTCGAAGTATGCGAGGTACTCGTGGCAAGGATCCGCGTAGAATTAGCGCGATTAATAGATGTATCCATCGATGAATAACGACGAAGAAGTTCATTGCTGAGCAATGTTCTCGTCCCCAAAAAAAACGGAGGACGGATGATCGTTTCCCGTTGTTTATCGTCCAGCTGTGTCCCTTGTTCTTATCGCTACTGTCCGCTCCTCGATTCATCTTGAATTTATCTCTTGATTTCCTTCAACATTGCGATTCTTATTCCCTAATCAATCTACAAGGATTGGTCGTTCATCTTTAGATAAGTTATCTTCTAAAGCGGTTTTCATCTCTTTCGATACGTCCGGGTATTTCAGGTCGCACCATCATGGCCTTTGTCTCCACCGACCAGGAAGCGTTGTAGACCGTGTCGTGCACAGAGGCAGCACTCTATATGCTTCTTCTTGGTTCAGGTGTCGGCACTCATTAGGTCAGTTCTGGTATCCGGCCAATCGTCCGGCATTATCACGAGTTCTTTACTGGCTTCCGGCGCTGCTTCGTTCGTGCCGTCGGCGTGAGACCGCTTATCGCGGGATAGAGAGCCAAACTCACTTGTTCCGGGTTACTAGCAGCCACTTCACGAATACCTACGTGTTTCGTACTTTGTACTTCAGATTCTAATACCCATTCGTCCGGTTCTCTGTAGGCAACAACAACAATACAAATGAATCACAAGTCTTAGGAAAGTATAATTTTAGAAAGCAACTTACATATCTGGAGGATGCCACCGCAGCAATACCTTCCTCTTCCCATCCATTTCGACTCTTCTCGCTAAAACCTGTAAAAGCAGTTTTATTGAAGCAAATCTCAATACATTTTACAATGTCAGTTGAAATAAATTTTACACTCGTAGCTTACTTGACTAGTTAGTGCCATCGAGTTTCCTGGCGTTTCAGCTAGTCGCCCTTGCGTCCTCGATGTTGCTAGTTCCAGTAGCCTGTGCTGGAGACCCTCCATTATTCCCGAGTCGAAGTAATCAAAAAGTCTCGCTGTAAAGACACCGTATTAACGAAACGTATCATTTTTTTTACACTACCAATTTATAAAATATTCAAGAAAGAAAATACATAATTAATTGTGGAGTCGCAAAGCAATACTCACCAGACCAAGGTTGCCGCCTATATCTAAGCTTCTTGCCATTCCTTCTAACGAGCTTGCCACCGTTCTCGCAACTACGTCTCCCATTACTATTACTCGTTTCCGGTTGATTGAAGTGACCGTTCACGTGTCTCTCGAGGGCGGTCTGTAAATGGATTAGTTTCTGAATATTTTCCCGAACAAAAGTCAATGGTATGTGAGGAAAATAGACGCGTTACCTGAGAGCTAAATCTGCAACCGCAACCGTCGACAATGCATCGAAAAGGTTTGTTACCGCCGTGAGACACAACGTGTCTTTCCAACCAACGTCGGGAACACGAGGTCCTACCTTGCACCTTGCATCCCTGCCAATGACAGACGAAATTGTCGCCGCCGGTTTGCGTATTGATGTGCGCAGCCTATAAAAAATACAAAAGTTGTAGACAAAAGCTAATATTCTTACTTGAAAAAAGTTTAACTTGATAATACTTATTAGTAATAAGTTTCAACTGTCTTTCAAGTAAGAAGTACGAAACTCCATTGATTGATTTTCGAACATTTTCTGCGAGAGATAAAGATTTACGGTAAAAAATGTTCTATCACGTACCTGTAGATGTTCTAAAAGACCACCCATGGATTCGAAGCTGGCTTCGCACTTATCCCAGCGACAAATCCCGCTGTCAGTAGCCTGCGATCTGTCCTTCTCGGGCGCTCGTGCCGGGAACCGGATGGTAGTAGGTGCCGAGAGGATAGGCGACGGTTTCGATTCGCTGCCTCGGGAGTCCTCCTCATCTACGTCATCTTCATCGATTGGCGCCGATTGCGCATCTTCATCCTTGCTGTCCTCTTTCGACGACGAAGAGAGCCTCGAAATGGGGGAGTCATGACCGCTTTGCGATCTTAACGCACCCAGGATACCTCCACAGCTGTTCGTCAGATTGTTGTTCTCATTCACGTGCGGCTTCGCCAAGATTGCCTTAAAGTCCAACGATTCGCTCAGCAGTGACGAGGCGGCAGTAGCGGGCGGGGAGCTGCCCTTGGTCGAATTAATACTCGCGTCCGAAGTTAATCTGTTTCACACAAAAAAAACACACGGTCATTAATCAGAAAACAGTCTTTACTTACCAAGATTGGTGTTCCATCTCTTTTAACTAAAATATACAAATTACATGTTTCATGGATTAATAAAATCCGAGCTACACGGAAAGTCTTGAAAATGCTTGGAAGACGCTTTTAAGAGTTCTATTTAAAAAGTCAGAAAATACGTCTTTAAAACATGTTGTAGACACGCATGTTGTCTAGGAAACCCTTTTCAATATGCAATAGCAAAGTTTAGTCAATTAATTGACTAATTAATCAGCGTAATGCGACCGTGAATACCGGACTCAGTATCTATACCTAAGAGATGAGATCTTGGGCAGAGTTTTCAGTACGTCGTTGGAGATTGGCAGAGTTGGCAGCGATTTCGGCAGCTTCTTGTCTATCTTGCCGTTGGCCCTTGGCACGATGACTACCGGTACCTTATTCGTGATGTTCGATGACGTCAACGTTCTCACTTCCCAAGGCTCGTTGGTCATTGTACTACGGTTTGTGTTGGACGACACGGTGCCCAAGTACTTAGCCAGGCCGCCCTTGTTCCTCTGCACCATAGGTGGCCTCCGAAATTCCGACGAGCTCTTCGCTACTAGCACCATTTCGTTCGTCTTCTTTGTCTGCCAACGGAAATATAACGATACGATTTCAGTATGTACTATTTATTTATGTACTTTGTTGTGCTGAAGACAATCAAACATTAACTTGATTTTTTCCAAAAGAGATGAAAATTAAGTAATTTTGTTATTAACGTCCACATTACATAACGTAGGGAGATCCTGATTATAGATACTGTTCAAATATAACGCCCTCAATAGTTTCCTGTAAATATCTCGGTAATATTGAAAGAACAACGTATTTTTGCTAAAACGAGGTCACTGTCTGTATGGAGCACGCTAACAGCAACATCGAAATAGTATACCAGACAAAAATTCAATCGTTGAAACTCTGAAAATTTATGTCAAATAACTTGTTTCACTTCTCTTCTTGCTTTTTATAAACGCGGCACAAGTATATTTGATCTAATATTAATTTTACTCTCGTAATATAAATAGACGAGACACATTTAGCGTTAAACGCGGTGCGATGCGAACGCGAATTATCAAGAATGTGCTATGTTAAATCGCCGCCGATCGATAGGACAAGAGCAATTTCCGTGAATTAATATCAACCTACTGGAAAAACCTATGCGCGGGTTTGTTAAAAAAAAAAGGCTAATTCAATATCCGATAAACGCATGTTCGCTGATAAGGCGAGTCTGTATCTGAAGTGTTCGCACCCAAGTAAAACCGGTCGATATCTTCTGCTACAGCATTGATTTTAATCGAAGAAGCTTTCCTCCGCCACTATTCCTTTGATTTATTCGATTTTTACGTTCCCTAAATCAAATATCGTTAAACAAACGATGAGTACATACGATCTTGCGACAATGAATTTTATACATTTCTACAATCCGTAAATTAAAATTTTGTCCACGTTCGGATTAAATGAAGAGCGACCGTCTGTCCACTTGCGCTTTTGAAGTCAAAGACCCTGGAAAATCAAAGAGTCTCACGCGACTCCCTTAGGGCGCGAAATGTGTCAATGCCTTCGTCTTCGAGTGGCTACCTACCAGTATAGTAATAGAAACCGACCGCGGGGCTTTCAGAGTCAACCTTATTCACACGTTTTCAAAACGACTGTTGGTGGAGCACCTATGATAATTAAGGGCTCAATTTTTACGAAAAGATCTCTCCAGATCTCTCCGATCGAGTAATCTGTCCCTCCGACGCCTTCGTCTTCCCGCATAAAAACTGGATGCGGCTCCTTGACATATTTATTATTTGCCTCGATCTCGAGTAGGAGACCAACCTTCGGCTGTTGCGGCTTAATCTGCGTCTTGAAGTACTCCGTGATCTTGCCCTGGGACTCGTGGTGATGCTGGCCGCCCGTGGTCTTTCCGCTCCCCTTGACGACCCCCCTGGAGGTGGGATCAGCGGCGCCGGAGCGCGGAAGGGCGCCAGCCTCCGGTTCGCCCCTCAGCCTCTTGTACGCGACGGTGGAGTAGGCGGTCGCTGCCAACGGTGGGGTCCAGGGCCATTGGGGCCTGGGCTGCAACGACGGCGCCAGCTTGGGTAAAGACGGCAGCGGGCTGGCGGACGTGCCGCGTATCGCTGCTACCCCCTCGTCGCTGCTGGTGCTGCACGGCGAGCCCGGCTCTGTGATATCGCTGGTGCCACTGCTGCTGCATTCTCCGCAAGACACCGCGACTCCACTGCAACACACCAAGAAGATACCGTAGTTTAGTAACAGAAAACCCTCGGGGAAGAAGCGCGCTCGCGAAATTTGCATATCGAAGAAGCCCCAACTTCTTCATCTTATCATTACATCATTGTTACACAGTGTATTGTTGTTATTAGAATAGAGCGTACCCCACGTTTCTATCGCATTGCCCTTTAATTGATTGATATTAAGTGGATAAATGTGGGGTTTCAAGAGTAGAAATTCAAATTAATATCCAGCGACAAAAGACACCGAGGTATCTTTCAGAACGTAGCAATAGAAAGACATTTATTCTGATTACTGGCAGCTTGTGACAAGCTTGTCGTTGCGTTACACGATTCGTTAATGAGAGAAAAATTTCCTCGACGCGATACCACCTACTGCGTTTAACGCAACACAATAGTATCTCGTTACGGTTGTGCTACGCCCGACCATTATGTCGGCAGCAATTCCGTGTACGCGTCGTCGTACGACGACGCCCCGTTGCAAAGCGGTGGCACAATTTATCCGAATGAAGATGGCTCATCCACCACCTCGTTGCACCTCGCCGCGCTCCGGTCTGTCGCCCTTTTTTCCCCTCTGGGTCCAAGCGAGACGAGTCGCCGGTGTGGTCGGTCGATCGCTCTCGGTCCAGAAGCAAACAGCCTTCGTGGCAACCGCGAAGCGCGCCACGAGGGGAACCGGTTGGAGGACGACAAGCGGCGGCAGCGGCGGCCACGAGGAAATTGCAAGCTTACCGAGTAATGACGTTACCACCAACGCAAACCTAATTACAGGCCCAGACATTGCCAATCGGCCTGGCCCCGTCGCCGTCGTCGTTTGGGGGCTTCCAGTGTCGCGGCTCGGCGACCCGTTTTGGTAATTTGCAAGCGAATCGGGAGACACACGGGCGGTGAAAAGCGGCGTGTCGGGAAATTTGTCGTCGGATTTTTTAACAGGTTTGACGTTTGCGAAAACTGTGTATCATCTTGCAGAGAGAATTCTTTATTCCGATTTCTGACTCTATTTCTTATTTACCTTAGCTCTATAGTGCTGGCCATCAAAGCGAGACATTGCCCGCGAGATAGAAGTCAGACGACTACGTTTATTGTGAAATACGATTGTAAAAACGCGCAGTCAAGCGCATACGCGAACAATTAGGTTTTATCCTGCAATTTTCCGCATTATCGTAGCTTCTAGAAAAAAATAGCGCGCATCGAGCGCGCATCTCTTCTCGCATTCGCGAACACGTCAGCTTCGCGTCGTTTCGTCGCGTATCAGCGGTCGTAAATTATCCGGTCGGCTATAAAGTGGCCGAAAACGAGGGAAAAACGACGATTCCATACCGCCGTTCTCTCGCTTTCGCCGGATAAGGCCGGCCGATATTTCGGACAACGTTCGTCTCCCTCGCCGCGAATCGCGAAGTCCCCGTCGAGAGGAAGAGACACTGACCTTTCCACGCAGCGCGTGGCACAGTGCGTAAAGTCAGGTGGTCAGTCTCCGTTGACGAGCGGCGGAGAGAGACATAAACATCGTCTTTCATTCCTCGTCCATTGAATCAACCCCGCCAAATATCAAACTCCACACCGGTCCGACCGCGTACGTTTCTCGTTACGTAAATTACGAGCGAAGCGACGATCTGCTTGCTGACACGCGTGTAAAATTCTTATCTTGGAACACTTGGGGGCAACTACGTCCTCGTTAACTGTTAATGGCATTGTAATGATCCCTAAGTGCTCCAAATGCTAACGGGACAAGATAACAGCATTCGAATGCGTGTTTTTAGAATTAGAACAAGGAAATATTTCCACGTGCCTGAAGTCTGAAAATAGCGTTTTGTCAAAATTTTCACGCGTGTAAAGCTTCCTCGGGTAACAAATACGACGTTAATGAGGCATCCGCCAAGATAGGCACCCAGGAGGGCAATTAAAATGAAATTAGATTTTAATAGGCCTCTGGAGAACAGGCTTTCGCCGTCTACGTGGTTCTCTATAGTAAAGCAGAAGATCGCAACTCCTAGAGCAACGAGCAACAACGGCAACGAACGCGTTTCGTTTTCAGCTGCACGGTCGTGCGAGGGATGTGTGTATCTACACATGCGAAACTGATTTCGTAGCAGAGCCCGCGCTTTACGCTCGTTACGCCTTTATCGGGTTCTCGTGTGCGCCGCGTGCGAAAATCGAGACGGCCATCGGCGCTGATGCAGACGCTCATGCATTATACATCCCCATGTTAATTGCATAACGCGCGCGCGCGCGCGCAATAATGACGGGAATAAATGATATTTGCAGCGTCGGCGGACGCGCGCGATTTTATCGCGCGCGGCGGCTTTCGCATAACTGACCTACGTCCATTTCGCCGGCCCTTGGCCGTGGTCACGCGGATGTATGTACGCGCGCGCAACGACGGTAACACAGAATTCCGCCCTTTCCGCTGGAAATCGCTGGAAAGGGATGACAGCGGGTGGGAGGGACAGAACGGCACGTCAACCTGTCTATCGTTCCTCGGTGCGCGACGATCTTGGCCAGGGCCCGGGTATAACTTGCAGGAAATTGAATGGACGGACGGATGGACCGCTTGAAAGTACTTGGAGGACTGCGCGAAGGGCTTCTCTCTCCCTCTTTCAATTAGCTCTCCAAAGTGTCAACTTCAGTCAATCGAGGCGAAGTCCATATTCGCGAAGCGACTTCGTTATTCATCATCGAAATACGGCCTGCAGGCAATGACAAAGGATTTCGTGTCTACGTGCAGAGAATTTTATAAGAGTCTTTTGAAATTTTGCCATACATTTTACTAGTAATTAGTATGCATTTTGCTACGCGAAAAGACCGGCTAAGGCAAAAATAGTGGCATCTACATTGTTTTGTGTTGCAACGTTCACTAAGTTTGCTGCACAAAACGCATATAGTTGTCTCCACTACTTATCGTACCAATGTGGGTATGAGACAACTACGGATATAGCTGTCCCAAATATTACTATTTATTGGGGTTGTGCCAGCCGTAATTAGACACGCGGTAACCACATCGGTCTCTCCGTGTAGTAAATGTATGGTAAAATTTCACAAAACTCTCATGAGGTTCTTCAAAATGCCATGTCCCACGATTTCACGATTTTCAGGGTAAATTTTCAAAGAAAATTCTCTCCGTGCAGCTAATTCTGCAAAACTCGACAGTGTTCGCAAATTTTCCTAATTTCTATCGACATCGCTAAATAAAACGATTGTCGATACGTGTAAGATAAGCATAATTATAGAAATAGCTCTTTATGCATATTCAAGTAAAATAATAGATAATGGCGTCACTCCTCCGTATTCGTAAAGGCTTGCTTTATTTATCGACTTAATTCAATGACTTTCGTTGTCGTTAAATCTAATAAAATGTCGAATGCTACATCGCGGTCTACGTCAAGAAGAGTCTGCCGGAACGGAAGGCATTAACTACGACTGGCATTCGAGCAGTACAACGGCCTCAAACAAGACGTTTCGCCGTGCCATACATAATTAGACTTCAACCGGTAATCGTCTCGAGGCTTTACATAATGTATTAGCGCCGCGCTCGATGTGTCCGGCGCGGCCGCGTACGTGCGAGTTAGCGAATTAACGTGACTCAAGCTGCATAAACGCTTGAAAAAGTGGCGAGCGCTCGGCGGCGAAAATAGTCACACGTGCGATCGACGCCGTGTGTCTTGCGTGTACGCTCACGTGCGTGAGAAAGCGATGGTTGGAATCCGTGAAGTCACGGACGCGCGAGATGAATGAAGTACGGTTTACCGTCGAATGCAGACACATCGGCAGGTGACACACTTTGCACGCACGATGTAACGCAGCGCGCGATGCTATACGCACAACATTGTTTTCATATTATCATTTGCGTTATCATCCTGCTATAAATATCCTTCGCTAATAATAGTCTGTCGTAATTTCAATCTGATTATCATATGTTTTTCTACAAGCTTTTAACAGCTGTACGAGTTGTAACCTTTGTTATAAATGCGAAAGCTTTACCACATATAGTATATCATTTCTGTTTCTTGGGTCAAAGGAAGGGTTAGGCCTTAAACAGACTTTTGACAGTTTTCATTATGGGATTTGTGACTTGCAATTTTTGCTAGCGGAGAATGAGTAAGTGAGTGAATACAGTCCCGAGCCTGGCTTTTTTTCTTAAGTTTCCAAAAGTCCTTTCTTCAAAATAAAGAAACGCATAAATCGTGTAAAAAAATATTCACAGGACGAATTTCCATGGGTAAACGTAGTTTGCTTTTCAAAAATAAAGCACAATGAAACACAAGATATATTTGTGACAGTCGTGGTCCCTTCTGTGAAAAATAACAGGCTACAAGCGTTAGTTTCCGTATAGAACGACCGGTTAGCAATGTACCAAAATGTAGAGCCTGCGTTATACCGTTAAATTAATTTTAATACGTATTGATTGTTTCTCTTTAAATTACACGATGTGACTCTTGGTTATTTTGTATCTTACGCCTACGATATTTTCGGTGCTATAATCTGAAAACAATTATCGTTTCAAGTAACAACGATATCCTGAAGGAAGAAGAAAAACGTTCCCCTCGACATTTCATCCCTCCAGAATGAAATCAGTACGCGAGCACCTTGAAATTCGAGACTCATTCCGGGCTTGGATCCTTTTCGTGCTGCTTTCGTCCTCTCTCTTTCTCAGTGACAATAGATCGTGGACTTGGTCCAATATATATATCGCCGACCCTTGACACCCTTCCCCCGCCTGAACGGGCGAACAAAATCACCCTCGGGCGGAAGATGACTGATTGGCAGTCCCATGGACGTAGGAAATATCTGGGCGAAGCGTAAAGTACCCTTATGGACGCGGGGAGTTGGCTCTGAAGGGTGAGGGGAATCTATCGTCGTGGCTATCTTGGTGCCGGATATTTAGCGTCTCTTGTTACATCGTAAGGCATTATACGGCGTGAATTAGAACACTAAGACCACTGCAGTAATTTCCATTTTCCGATTCCAGATGTTAATTTTCGCTAAATAT